AAAATTAATAAGTAAACATAAGTGACACACAATATTACTTTGAAATGGCGTGCTATAGATATGACCGATACTGTAGGTATTTATGGGAGGTGTTCAGAGTAAAGTATATATAAATGAGTTTGTAATAGGGGGATACACATATATATATTTATCTATTAGATAACTCGGATATTTAAAACTGTGTTTATTTTGTGTGAAACCTTACCATCTTTAGATTATTTTGAAATGGAAAGATCAAATCGTTTTTTAATCTCGCGATGCTGGTAAACGAAAAAAGTTCGTTCATAATGAATAAAACTCCTTCCGAATTAAGCATTATACTAGAAAAGTGCAGCTAAATAACACAGCTAATCGAATAGGCAGATAAACGGAATGTACCGTAGTAGAATAATTTTAATTTAGAAATTTGATTGTTACCTTATACTACGTTCAAATTGACGAGCTAAACATGTTAAATGGGCTTTAACCAGATAAATGAACAAAACACGTTCATAACCAAGTTAAATCGCATGCAATTGTTGTTGGAAAATTGAACCAGTTAAATCATTTAACTCGTTTGAAAACCAGTTCAACGCAGAGTTGTATCGGCAAGCTTTCTGCTCCGGCCAATCAGAAAGACCCAAAAGCGTTCATTTGACACGCCAACGTTCAAAAAAATTATATTCTGAAAAATATAAAAAAATAAAAATTATCAAAAAATATTAAAATTGTATGCCAAAAAAGAGGCCAAGGCGGTAATTAGTTGTTTCCCATGAGGTCTCATCGTACGCAGAGATAAATAGCACAAACGAACTAAACATTTTCGAGTCTCTAAGTAATCCGTATGCGTTAATATCATGAAGCAGACATTCGCACAAAACAAATTGAAACACAAAAACTTGATTGTTAATATTTTTTTTTCAAATTTTTATTGGTAATCAAACAACCGTCAAAGTTAACTGCAAATGTTCAATGTGGACGATTGTTTTTCCAAAAGGCTCTTTTTCATTTAACAAATTAAATGGGGCCAATTTGAACGTAATATTAACTATCTAATATTAATAATGGAACAAAATGTGTAGTACAAGTGATGATCAATATATATTAGTTGTAGCACGATAAAGCCAAAAGTATGGCTCCTAAGGATGGCTTAATGTAAACAAAGAAAATAGTTTGTCTCCTTTAAATTATGCTGAACTGAATATTTGTATTACTGTTTTATGTTTTGATTTGTTTACTCCGAACGACGTGCTCTGCTAGTATATAATAAAAGTAAAATTAAAATTAATGCTTAATATAAGTAAACCTGTCACACTTTTCCTTCTAAGCTATATAATAGTTTATGTATACACTTAGGTCTCTTTTTATGCGGTACATGCGTTCCTCAGGAAGCCGCATACAAAAAATCCGCATAAAAAAGTTCTTTACTTTCATATAAAAACAGGGGATGCGTTCCAGCATTTTTAAAAACCGCATAAATTCAGATACTCCATGTAAAAAATTCTTAAAAACCGCATAAAAAAAGCCAGTGAGGCATTATTGAGCAAAAAAACTATTTATTTCTTCACTTCAACACTTATTATTCCATGTAAAACCGAACATTAATGAAATAAATAAAATGTTATCTGTATTTAAAAAAAAACACAATAAATACATGAATTATGTACGAATTCATAAAAACAAAAATTAGAAAAAAAAGGTTTTCTTCTTAACAGCGGTCGCCCTCGGCAGGCAATGGCAAACCTCCGAGTGTATTTCTGCCATGAAAAACAGCTTCTCGAAAAAATACAATCGCCGTTTGGAGTCGGCGTAAAACTGTAAGTCCCTCCCCTTTGTGTGACAACATCAAGGCGCACACCACAAATTGGAGGAGAACCTCCACTTATGTGATTCCAAGCAGTACCGTAAATGTATCACGTAGGACATGCGGTCTAAGAGTGTAATCGACCTTCTTATTTCATACATTATGGGGGATCTGAATGGACTAGATCGAGTCATCCAGCTAAAACGGATGGAAAGGACCTTTCTATCTAACAGACAATGTTCTGCAGTGATCAAGTAGCAGCCTTTTGAAGGTACCAACGTTTTCACAATTTTCTATTTGAGCTGGAAGTTCATTGTAACATTCTAATCCCTTATAAAAGATATTCTTCTTATATATTTCCGTTTTATACAGCGGCAGCCTGAAGCTATTATTTTCCCTGAGTAAATACGAATGGGTTTCACTATTATATCGAGGATATCACTCAGATAATCTGGAAGTCTACCTTGTTTTATGTTAAACACGAATTTCATAGCGTGATAGAAAATTTGCTGAGCTGCAAATGGCTTCCTTCTCCCACGAAATTTTTAAACGATATTACTTCATACCGAAGTGATATTCGAGTAAAAATACCTCTTAATGCAAGCTGAAACAATTTTAACTGGTGTCAAAACTTTTTAGTGTATATGTTTGTGTTGCTTTGTTTAATATACGGTGTAGTTGATTTCTCAAGTAAGAAAAACTTGAATACTATATATTTTAAAAACCAGAAGGCTCCCGCACCTAAAAGTAGGTATTTTTGGAAAGGGGAGATCTCCAGCTTTCCAAAGATACCAATTTTACCCCTAAAACCGGGGGTCCTTAAAGTAAAGTTTGCCCCTCGGAATTATGTACATAAATATCTTGAAATTTTCGCATCTAATATTTTACATACGTGTGTATGTATGTATATAGTAAAATAAGCATTTAGTT